AGCTGGAAAACCTCAGGACCATCAAGACATCTGATGCACATGCTATAATTTTTGGCCCTTAAAAACATTTTAAACTTTCAGCATAGTTGGGATGTTTTGTTAAGCCTGCAGTCTTTCTGCAGATAAGAACCTTTATGAATTAGTCACACAGCTCCTGTTGTTGATCAGTAAATAAGGGCTACAGTGGAGAATTGAGGGTATCAGTCAGGAAAGTCCCTGAGACAGAAAGAGGTATGGTGTTACCATATTTCCATGAGCAAATAAAATAAAGCTTTTTTTTTTTTCTTTTTTCTTTTTGCAGTCTGGTGATTGAACCCCAGGGCTTTGCACATGCTAGGCAAGAGCACTATCACAGAGGTACATCCCCAATCTTAAATAATGATATTTTTAAGCAAGTAGAGAACAAGTGATAAGATAAAATAGTGTCTCAATATAACACATTTTAAAATCTGTAAAATATATTTTTATCTCTAAAATATCACATGATCAATTATTGCCAAGTTTATATGCAATACAAAGCTATACCCCAAACAAGCAAGCTCTGATCTTCTGGGTAGATTCAGAAAAACCTGAAGAAAGCCAAAAAATCCTAATCAGTTATTAAAACATATTTTAAGAAAAAATTATGAGATGGTTACACTCACAATTCATATTATATTTCATAAAAGATCCATTTGGAATCCACAATGTCTCTTCTTCCTTTAATTAGGAACAACACAATCAACTTTTACTTCATCAAGATTCTTTTGTTGCAGAGCATTACCAACTTCATACTTTGATACATGCTTCATCCAGGTTTTCACCTGTTTTCATTTCAATCACTAATTAGACATTAAATAATTTTCCTCACTGTAAATGTGTGCTATTGTTTAAAAATCAATAATGTTCAATGTTGTTCTCAGAGTGAACATTAGACAAACTATCAAAGTTGATGGCAGTTGTTACTATTATTATGACATATTCATGACAAAAACATTTGCAGTATCAAAAAAAAAAAAATCCCAGAATCATGAAAATCCCCAGTGCAAAGTAACTATTCTAGAGATAAAATGATTTATAGTTCTTTGTTAATAATTTAGCTGCTTCTGACCAATGAATACCTCTAAACAGACTGCTGTCCAATGACAGAAGTTTTTGACTTTTAGTTAATATTAGCAATAAAACTCCCTTGCATCATGCTAATAATAACACATTGGAAGAACCACTCCCAAAAAAGGAGTCCAGTGTATATATAAAAACATTTATCTCCATAAGTATATACTGAAAACTTAAGGCTTAAAGAGGCTTCCACTTAAAATACAGGTAGAGAAATGAATGAATATATTCTAAAGTACTACTCTAACCCTTTCTGCTGTTAGAAATGTTCCTTTTTGTTTTTTTGTTTTTTTTAACACAAAGAATTCAAATACCCTCTTTCTCTATAACAGGCTTTCATAAGCATATCAACATTTTTCTCCCACTCTGATAACTGAAAATTCTAAATGTTTATTGTTTTAAAAATCAGACAGCAAAGTGTTAACATGAATACCTCTATATAATGCCCCCAAGGGGAAAATACAGGGTTAAACCCTAAATCACAGAGATGAGAAGTATGGGGGTACCACAAATTGTTAAGTTGATGGATGAATAAAGCACTATAATCTTAGCAGTCAGCATAAAAAGCCTCTCTCTGAAGCTTTGTTCCAACTATAATAACTTGGTGTACTTACCAGAAAAAATTATGATCATATGGACTTCATGCATGATTGATACCATTACTGTTTATTTTAAGACTGTCCTTGAGAATCAATCAAATAAAGCATTCCAAATGTGTATGTTTTGCAACCAAGAATGAGGAACACAATATAAGTGCCTCTTATGGAGAGGAAGTAATGGAATATTCTCTCCATTAGTGTTTTCCACCAAAAAGAAACATCTAATAAAAGTGAATCAGGCAGAAACTCATATCAGAAAACCTCCTATCATCCTATGTTCTTTATAATATTTGTATTTTTCTAGTAGCTATTTTAATAATGGAAAAAAAAAGTTATCAACATACACACAAAAGCTTACCAATCCAACCAAGGAAGAGCCCAAGAGCTTAAAAAACTACTTGGGAATAATACAAACTATGAAACATAATCACCCATAAATCATTAGAATACTCCCTTTGTGTCAAGTAAGCTTTTTAAGGTCCCAGAGGGCACATGAATCTTATCTATCATTCCTTAAATCTTTGCATTTGTAATAAACATGGGTGAAATAACTGAAATACTTTAAAATGGGAAAATAACTCTTCTCCATGAACCATTTTTTTTCACATGCACCTTGAAAAGGAAGATATAGCTGGAATTAAAAATTGTCATTTTTCGTAACATAACTTTTTTGTATAATAATATCTGATTGAGGATTCCAATATAAAGAAACTCAATCTATGTTTAGCCTCACAAAGGAAACCTAATAATAATTAAGACAATGATGTTATTCCAATCTCAAAAGCAAATCAAAGACTTTGCCAGGGCAGGTAGACATCCATCTCTCCTTTCCTTCCCATAGTGAGCAAGACACAACCTAGCACTTAAGTTGTAACCACCTCTCCCACGCCCCACCTCACCACCATCTCCAGCACCACCAATCTGACAATAGGCCCTTCTGTTTATAAATTATAAATAACAAATTGCCATTCTCATTCCTCCATTCTATGAACTAATTATTTCACTTCAACAATAAATTCTTGGTTTAAATATTAGGTACAAAAATCCATTTATATCACACAACTCCAAAAGTTCAAATCTGTCATCAAGAAAAGTTTGGACTTTCAGCCCTTTTCCATTTCTCTTTCTCTCTCTCTTTTTTATGCAAAACAAAACAAAAAACACAGTTTCTCAAAGGGTTAAAAATCTTAGTTTTCAAATTTGTATTTTTGTGGAATATACTGATGCTTCACATCTGCAAATTTAACTAATTTATAATGGCTATTACTCTTTAAAATACTTTGTTTCTGTACTATCACTTATTATGTGGAGTCCTAAGAACAGTTTATATAAACATAGTTATATTCAGAATGTGCCTCCACACCTGGCATTTATTATGCACACTTTGTGTATAAATCGGTTACATGAAGCATGTTCAAATACTGTGCAACAGGTCCTGCTATTGTGTAAACACATGCTTCCAACAGAATGACAGGAAGCTTTATTATATCAACAATATAAGGGGAAATCACATTATTCCTTGTAGATTTAACCATAATTCTTTAGAAAGTCAGAAGGTATCAGATCTAATCAAAAGGAGTAAATTTTACTAAAACTCCCTTGCTGGCTTTGCATCCTACCGAACATGTAATAAATTTGTGTCACAGCCCAGGTGTGTTCACGTTCCCAATGATTTATTGCACGTTGCTGGCTGGCTTTAGTGCTGAGTTGATGACAGGAAGAGTACTTTGGCAGAGGTCTGACAAGTCCTTATCCTTAAGTTCCCTTTTGCTTTGTGCCTTCTGTTCCCAAAGCTATCACAGTAAAACAGATGACAGTCTAAGACCTCTCAGTTTTTGCCATGAGAGTGTGAAATCAAATTTAAAACACACCTCAGAACTATTACATGGGGCCACGTTTATTTTCAATCGGCGGGGGAGGGGGAGAGAAGACACTTCAAAAGAGATGGATTTCACGTCCTCTGTGCAGCCAGATCCAGTTACAGTGTATTAAGTTTTGTCTAAATGAGAAAAAGACTCTGTCTACTCAAGTGTTTTATCACAAAGTAATGTTATTAAACATATCAAGTATTCCCACGTTCTCCTTTAGATTCTTTTATTTTTACCTCCTTTGTTAGGCACCAACCACGGGGAGGAAGGTTTCAGGAACAATACCAAGGCAGCACAGGATGCCAAGCAATCAATTTTGTTTCCCGAGCTGTTTATCCATCATAAACTCAAGCTTCCTTGTTAAGCCACACGTTTGCTATAAGTAGGGCTTCACCTCTTCCCCGGGTAAGACGCATGGACCGGCTACAATTGTGTCTTTGAGCGCGCAGCATCGTGCTTTGTGCTGCTGGGGATAACGGATTCTCGGTCTCGCATGCATCCATCACCTAAGGCACAGGGAAACTCAACTAGGGTTTCAGAGGCTACAAGGGAAATAATGTTGAGACCTGGCTGCTCTGAGCTACAAGGATCCGAAGAGTGAAGGAAATGTTTCAGGGATCAGTCCAGGCAGGGGAAGAGGAAGAAGCCCTTGTACTCTTACCTCCACATTGAAATACTGCTCCGTTCCGCAGACTGTAGCACATAAAATCCAAATCAAGGTTTGCAAGAAAAACACCCCCGAAAGATGCACGAAATCCGACCGTCTTCCAGTGCTGAATGTGAGTAAGATCATAGTGAACTGTGCTTCAATGGATGGACGAGCTCCCCTTCTTTTTCTCCCTCTTTCCCTCTCCCTCCCTCCCTCGTTTCCTTTCAAAAAAAAGTCCTCCGGGTGGGTTAGGAGCCTGCAGGTTCACCCACAGCCGGGCAAGGGGAGGAGAAAGGGGCCCCAGGTGCTCGGCAGCCGGGAGAAGGAGCGGCAGAGGCAGGGTCAGCAGCAGCTCGCGTTCACCATCCTCGGGGGATCCGTCACCCGGAACGTGGCGCCCAAGTTCACCGGCGGTTCCGACTCAAAGCTCCCAGTCGCAGCCGCAGCAGCAGCCGCCGCCGCCGCCGCCGCCGCCTCCAGTCCGTGCGTCCTCCACCTCCTCCTCCTTCTCCTCCTCCTCCTCCTTCTCCACCGCCTACTCCGCCGCCGCCGCCGCCGCCGCCGCCCCCAGCTTCTGCGGGAAGGGCCTCCGCCGCTCCTCGCTCTCTAGCCTCTGCTTCTCCTTCCCTCCTCTCCTCGCTCCCCTCCAGAATGTTCATCCGTAATCTACATAACTCCTCCTTCCCGGGGTCTGCCCGGCTCTCAGGGCCCCGGGCGCGCGCGCGCGCGCGCGTGCACACACACACACACACACAGTCCAACACACACACAAACACAAGGCATACACAGCCCGAACCACACGTACGCGCGCTTCTTAAAGGAGACGGCTCGTAAAGGCTTCCTGGCTACTGTATGGCGCTGTGGAGGTATCCATCCTGCGAGAAGGGCCCGGGTTTGAAGAGAGCTATCAGTTTTACCCACCCCTCGTCCCCCAGCAGACACTTAGGAACCTGGGCGGCTCCATCCTTTGATCTAGTATCACGATCGCGCATCCAGAAGCAAGTGCGCCCCTCTCCAGCCCGGGTTTGGGTGGGGCTCAGGCTGTGTACCCTGGTGGAGCCTGAGAAGAGGCTCAGGCCTGGTCCAGAAGAACGATCTGCATCCTCAGTGGAGCGGCTCTGGAAGATTAGGGACGCTAGGAATGAGAGAGAGAGAGAGAGAGAGAGAGAGAGAGAGAGAGAGAGAGAGAGAGAGAGAGAGAGAGAGAGAGAGAGAGATCGCCCCAGTTACTGTGCACTCCTTGGGGACTTGGGTCAGTTGCCAGGCTGACCAAGTTTGGGAGGCTTGAGATGGCAAGTCCTGAACGTCCAAAACTTTACTGGGGTCCTCGGATGCAGTGTCCTGTTGTCTCCCTGAATTCTGTCTACCATCGTGGCACTCCGCCTTCCAAGCTAGGGGAGTAGGCACTGGGTTTTGGTGGGGTACTCATCAGATACAAAAGCGGGAATGAAAATTCGCTTTTCCAGGGGAACGGTGGACAGACACACGCACACACTGGCACTGGTGGTCCTGAGTGTTAACAAAACATCCGACCAAAGGGGTGGGGGCGTTGGAAAGAAGCCGGCTGCGGGAGCTGGAGGAAGAGCTGGGTAAAGAAAAAGAGGGAGCAGCCTGAGGAAAGGCGAGTAAAGCAGCTGGCAAGGGCGGGAGGAAGAGGCTGCGCGCAGACCGAGCGGGGGAGAGGCTGGCGGGAGCGAGGAAAGCTGCAGGCGAGAGGGGGAGGTTTCTGGCAAGAGGCTCAGGCGAACGCGGGCAGGGGAACTTCAGAAGAGGCTGCCAAAAAGGACTCTAGCTGCAGCAATGTGAGGCAGTGGACAGGGGAGGCACCAACCACCAGCCCTTGGCAGGTGATGGTTTGGCTGGAAGAGAAAGGGGGAAGGGAGAGAGGCAGGCATCTGTTTGGGGGCAATGCCAATAAATGTGCTTCTCCTTGGCAGCCAGCAGAGGGGAAGAGGAGCCCACGGTAAAGAAAAGCAGGGAGGCGAGGTTAAGAATAAAGCGTGTTCCAGGTATGACAGCTACCTCGGTGGGGTTGAAGAGAGGATTGACAAGGTATAGTTCATGTTTCAGTTGGTAAAGCAGGAAGTAGGACTATAAGAGGTCATGATTGATAAGCAGATGGAAAACGTTGAAAAATAGTTTGCCAAAAATGTATTGGATGGTAATAATTTGTATCCTAAAGAGAAAAATGAAAAATGTGAGGAATGAGACTTTACAGCTGTTGCTAAAATTAGAAAAGAGAATATATATATATATATATATATCCCCAACTTGACCCAAGACTTTCAGGTGTCTTTTCCGGTAGTTTTCCCTGTGCACAGCATGAGCCACCCACAAAATTATTTGATGATGTAATAAAAAGCTATACATTATATTGCATAACATTAAAATTTGCAGAATATTTCTAAACATAGTATTTCATTTAATTTCTACAACATCCCTGAAGGTTTTGTTTTCAACTTCCAGATGAAGACAATGATGGAAATAAAAGATAACTTTCCATCTCATCATACAAGTGACAGAGTTCAGGTGTTTTCTGACTTCCAATCATTGTATTTCTTACTATGTTCCACTGACTTTCCACATAAAAAAATTCATGCCTGATCTTGATTTGTGCACACAGGTTGAGATGATTCATATAAAAGAAATTGAAAACAAGGTCATTTTGTAGAAATTGTCCAGTGTTCTGTGCCAATGTAAAGTAACAAAATGTGATGTGGCATATTTGTCAATAAGTCAAGAAATTATTTTTTGTGTGTATTATATCTAGCAAGGTGTAAAATTAGAAAAGAGAATGCCAAAAAATGTTGAAATTCTCTTCCAGTCCTTGAGACAGTATCAAAGAGGAAGTGAAATAAATTTATACAAGATATACATGAGAAAACAATTATAAACAATTATAAATGGCGAAGTCCTTGCTAAATGAGCCAGTATATAAGACTTCATTAAGGAAGTGGGATGCAGACTGAGTATTGCTAGGCTGTCAACAAGAAGGGATTTCTCACTGTAAGAAACTTGTCAAAAATTAAACACAAGGGCTGGGTTTGTGGCTCAGTGGCAGAGCGCTTGCCTGGCACGTGTGAGGCACTGGGTTCAATCCTCAGCACCACATAAAAATAGATAAACAAAATAAAGATATTGTGTCCATGTATAACTAAAAAAGTTCTTTTAATAATAAATAAATACAAAACATAGATGCATTAACAGTACATGTGGAGTACAAAGTGAGAGGGGGCTTGCAATAAAATATTAAGTTAAACCTTGTTGCAATAGGCAAACAAGGGTTACTAAACCATTTAAGACATCTAGCGAATAGGTATCTAGTGAATATTATCTTCAAAATTATGAATGGGATTGTCTAGGAGAAGGAACTGGGAACAAAGAGATAATGAGATTTTTATCCAGCCACAAAACCATTAAACCTAGACTAGTGTGATGTTTTTGGACACCTATGCTTTCAAGTGGCATTCCTATGAAGAAAAACTCCATTGAAAACAGGAAATTCTAAATTCAAAAGATAGTGTCAAATTTGTGATTAGTAAGAATGATAAAAATTTTAACTTATTTACAATCATTCTGTAAAACTTACCACTGGACATTCACCGATGAGCAAAGAATGAGTAAGTATTCAAGGTTCCAGAAATAAAATACTGTTTTACTTCAATGATGGGGCTCAGAAGTATTCATAGTCCAATGAGGGAGACAGACATGTAATAATTTTTATAATGCTGTAGGACTCAGGCACTTGGACTCAGGCACTTATCTTATGGAAGAAGTAGTTGATTTTCCATGAGGTCCTTGGAGAAAGTATCACAAAATAAGTGATTCTTTGAGTAGAATCTTGAATAACGAGTGGAAATTTACGAGGTAGTGGAGGAATAAATATGCATAAGTGCACTTGTGGAACTACAGATCGTTTGTCAAGCTAAAGGCTAAGGGTATGTTTAAAGCAAGGTCAAGCTCAGAGGTTGCCTGGATGAGTGTGCAAGCATAAGATCAGTTAAGGTCTTTTGTGCCATATTTCTGGCTTTAGACTTTACCTTGAAGGAACTTTAAGGAGTAAATAAATATTTACCACCTTTGTTGAATGTTTGCTGACTTTTGGGGAACAGTTGCCTTCTAGAAGTTCTCATGTGTTAAGCATTCAGTATCTGTGGTCAGTGTAGATCTTTTATCTGTGTTTGTCTAATAAACCTGATGCAACATTGCCCCACATGGACTTAGCTGGTTACCTACAGAAATGTAATCACTTTCTTTGTTGGGTGACTTTGCTCTTCCATCTCTCATCTGTTATCTATGCTTATCTCTTAACAGGCCCAGAATTATCAGGAAGTTCCTAGTCTCATCTCTTAGCAGTTGTGAGCTTTTCCTACCCATGTAAGTTAAAATATAAAGTATCATCCTTCCCTTTAGGGTGTTAATGAAATCTTTCCTCACAAATCTTGCCTCTTGCTGTGTGTGCTTTTGGTACGATTCCTTTTCTCTTCTCAGAATTTTTAAAGATAATGAACAATCTCAGAATTACATGTGACTAGAGAAAATTGAACCCAAAAGAGAAAATAAATAAAAAAAATGGAGTAATTTCCCAAGGCAAAGGTTAATGGCAAGTCAATAAAATATTACAGGGGAGATAAAGGGATCTGAGGAAGTAAATGATACCTATACCTCTCAAAAGGCAAATGATAGATACTTAAAAGTGAGTATTCTGGGATATGAGAATGATTATAGCTACCTAAAATAACATTAGAGGCAAAATATGTATTATAACTATCATTGAAACAGATTTCTCAGTAAACTAGAACCTTCTAAATGAATTCCATAGTGTGGGAAGTTACAGAAATTGCTCATTCCTCCATCATATCAATTTATGTGCTTTCTTCCCTATTTACATCAGTTGAAACTGCAGTGCTCTTTTATTTATTTATTTATTTTTTCAATTCAGAGAATATTGAATTAGTGCCAAGCCATTGGCATCCTTTCTTCCTACAGGGGGATCGTATATATAGATAAGGTCCCTAGAGCCTTATTATTTAAGGTGTGTTGTCTGAGAGGATCTTAAGTCCTGGGAGTTTATCAGAAATGCAGAATCTTTGATTCCCTGTTGATTCATTTGCATGGGACTATTGAGATGCACTGTTGTAGAATATGTACACAGTAGAGCTACTTCTATTGTATCCACTACCTTAATGTTATGCTGTAACAAAAGTTGCTGGCCCATTTCAATCAGGAGAATCCTATGGTACTGAAATATTGTATCCTCAAAAATATCATTTCATGGCCTGAATTTATTGACATTATTTCTAATTTGGGGTGGTATGATATTTCTTGATAATTTATTTTGTGCAAAAACTCTCCTGCTTGAAAAATAATAAAAATAGTTTGTTATGATTAGTGGCAATGAAGATAGCATGATTTTTTTTAAAGATA